GATTTTCCTCGCTTCTATTTTCTGCCTCCTCCCAACTTTAGGAGAAACATCCTCCCCAACATCACCACTACCTACCTCAAGTCGTGCATTTACAATGCCGCAACAGATCCGTTCTGCCCCATCTTCCGTCTTGGCAAAATAGTGGAGAATGCAGGGCACAGCTTCCAGGACATGGCTGTCGAGGTAGGCACAGGCCCTGGCTTTGCTGGCACAGTCTCCGGCACGTCTCATTTCAAAACAGGCTCTAAGGAAAGCGTGCTTTGTCTCTGCTCACAACCCACAGGGCGGCATCATGGGGATCCAGATCAAATGGGACTGCAACCTGGACAGAGCCGCCTCCTTCTGCCTGCCCAGGTACTCCTTCCGCCGCCTGGACACTCGAGACCTGGACCACAATGTGTCCCCCGGCTACAATTTCAGGTGGGCGTGGGCGTGGGCATGTGTGGCGGGTGATGGTGACTGGATCACTCCCCAGTGGGGGCATGCACACCCACCTAAGACCAGCACTCAGGCAGCCGCCACGGGCAGGTGGGAGCCGTGTGCCAGGAAGAATGCTCCGAGAGAGGCTGTGCGCCTGTGGCATCCTGGCCTGTGAGAGCCCTCCTTGCCCGCCCTTTCTTGTCTGAAGAAACATATTGAGCCTGGCTGGTGTGGCTCAGTGGTTGAGCATCGACCTATTAACCGGGAGGTCATGGTTCAATTCCCGGTCAGGGCACACGCCCAGGTTGTGAGCTTGATCCCCAGTGTGGACTGTGCAGGAGGCAGCCAATCAATGATTATCTCTCATCGTTGATGTTTCTATCTCCTTCTCCCTCTCTCTTCCTCTTTAAAATCAATAAAAAATTAAAAAATAAAAGAAACATGTTGAGGCAACTTACAGAGCAGCTGAGGGAGGCTGGCTGCTCTACTCTCTCGAGCCAGCCTCAGTCGGGACCCTCACTCACTGCTTTCGAGGAAGGGCTGAGTTTGTGACCCTCTAGTCCAGAGGCCTCTGGGCTCTGACCCAGGAACTGATTTCTCAAATACAGAGTCTGCCCCGGCATCTCCAATGTGCACAGGATACAGGTTTCAGTCTCAGGATGGGCCTTTGCTGGTATTTTCTCTGTTGAAAGTGCTGTGTATTCGTTTCCTAGGGTTGCCATAACAGATGACTACAAACCAGGGGGCTGGGAACAAAGGATTTTATCCTCTCACAGTTCTGGAGGGCAGAAGCCCCACATCCTGGTGTCAGCAAGGCCAGGCTCCTTTCTTGCCTCTTCCAGCTTCCGGTGGCTCCCGACAATCCTTGGTGTCCCTTGGCTGGTAGACACGTCACTCCAGTCTCTGCCTTCTGCCCTCTGGGTCTCTGTCTGTGTGTCCCCTCCTCTTCTTAGAAAGACACCAGTCGTATTAGATTCAGGGCCTGCCTTAACTCAGTGTGTCCTCATCTTAGGGGCCAGGGTCCCGTTTGCCACTTTCCTGTAGCCACATACATTTGCACCTGCCCTTTGTCGCATCTTGCACACAAGTAGCCACTATCAAAAACAGGCCCCAGGCCCTGGCTGGTTTGGTACAGTGTATAGAGCGTCGGCCTGTGGACTGAAGGGTCAAGGGCACATGCCCGAGTTGTGGGCTCGATCCCCAGTATGGGGCGTGCAGGAGGCAGCTGATCAATGATTCTCTCTCATCATTGATGTTTCTATCTCTCTCCCCATCTCCCTTCCTCTCTGAAATTTAAAAAAAAAGGTCCCAGGAGGGGCCACCTGAGTAGGTCAGTGGTGCTTTTTGTGTTGCATTTGTCTCCCTCTAGTGGTGACATGGGGAATCAAATGCACGTGTGATCTGCAGTCCTTTTGAACCATCTGGCTCACGGATAGAAAGGCAGATGTTTGAATCTTTTCCTAAGCAAGGAGTTCGATCTGTGTTGCTCTGTTTCTACCCTCACACAGTTCCTGTAGAAACCACTGGGCTCGAACCCCAAAACAGAGAGAAGCCGATGGGACCCTCACAAGGACAGCCCTCCCCGGACTCCTGCCAGCATCAGGCCCTGCCCAAGTCCCAGGCCTGGGCCATGGCACGGGGACAGATCACGGGCCAAGAGTTTAGGTTCTGGGATTCCCTGTATAAAACAGGCAGCAAATGGTATCACGTCTCAGTGGTTCTCCCTCAGCCATTTCCCTGTGTGTGTGTGTGTGTGTGTGTGTGTGTTAAGGCTTTGAGACAGTTCACATACCACACAGTTCACCCATTTGAAGTATAGAATTCTGTTTTCAGTACATTCACCGAGTTGTGCACCTACCACAACAGTCAGTTTTAGAACATTTCCATCACCCGTACCCTTTAGCTTTCACCTCTCTGTCCCCCTCACCCCAGCCCCTGGCAACCTCTCATCTACTTTCTGTTTCTGCATTTGCCTGTTCTGGACTGTCATATGAATGGAGTCATACAGCATGTGGCCTTCTATTTAAAGATCTATCAGTAATTTTTTTAAAGTAGTGCCTGTTAGGTGTGATCAAATAATTGATGTACCCCCTCCCCTGGGAATTGACCTTTAGCCCACTTCACAATGGACATTCTGCTTGCTTAGACCACATTCCACCTGCTAAGACCATTATCTCTCCCCTCCGGAGTTTCCCAGAATCCCGACCTGCACAGAGAATTCTCCTCCCAGAAAAAGCCCGCCTAGAGTCCTTTAAAAACTCTGACTCCCAGTCTTTGGGTGCTGCCCCATCTGGGTTTCCAGATGACCTTTACCCCTTTTGGCCTCGTGCATTCCTCCTTCGGCGACCCTAACAGTGCCTGCATACAGAAGAGAAAACTTCATAGAAGTGGCCTTAGTGTGCACTCAGCCCAGAGCTTAAGATTTGGAGCATTTGAAATCTTAGCTTTATTGCTTCTGAGGAAACAGGACCCTGGGTCCACTTTAACACCCAGATCTGAAGTTGACCATTTTATACAAAACCTGCTTTGCTTTGAACCTGCCAAAATTTGCTTTCATTGAGATTTAAGCTAAACTCCACTAGAATCCTACAAAAACTCTGTCCCTTTGCTTGGGACACGGCTCCTCTGGCATGTGTTCGCCCTCATTGAGGGGTCAAATCCTACCTTTGTTGGATGGCTAGTTTGTTCCTGGGAGTCATAGGCTGCTGGGCCTAAGTCCTGGACGAACCTCCCAGGGCACAGAGCAGGATAGAGAGAGGATCCAGACAGAGAGTCATGCAGGAAATATTCAGCATAGAAATAAAGTCCACCCTTCCCTCCCCACTACCCAGCAAATCTGATTCCCCACTATCTACAGACAGGAGTGTTGTGAGGAAGTGTGTGGGGGGTGAGGGCGGAGGGGAGGCAGAGACCTTGGTTCACCCAGTGTTCATACACATCTGGGGCTGAGTAAAGGGCTGCAGAAAATGAATCAGTCAGTCTCTGAGTGGCTCTTGAGGCCATGGAAAGATCTAGGTCCTTTACTAAGGCACAATGAAAGCACTGGGTCTCCTGACATTTGAAGGGCTGCCCCTTCCCCCCAAATGAAATGAGCCAAAAAAGTGAAGGGAACAGGGGGAAGGGCAGAATTCTAAAAAAAAAAAAAATGCCCTTCCTTTGAACACCATCATTGTGCGAGCATGTGAGGGAGGCCAGCGGGGGTGGGGTCAGCTGGGAGGCAGGCCTATAGGACTTGTCTTCCCTTGTTTATCCCCCAGCCACATCTGGGCAGCAGCCAGGGTCCGCCCTCATTGTGTCATCATTGGAGGAGCTCAAACTTAAAGGCTCCAGTTTAAATTCAGGGCATTTCATTTTCTCTTACTGGTGGGCCTGCTGTGTCTCACCATGCCAGCCTGCTGCGATGATATGTTCCTGTATGAGACCAACAAAGTCATCCAGATCCAGAACACGAGATATGGCACCATTAAGTGGATCTTCCACATGATTGTTTTTTCCTATGTTAGGTAAGTGGGGTGTGGAGATGACCCCAGATCTCTGCAGTGGTTGCCCGCAGCTTCTGGTGCACATCCTGAATTCTACGTGGTTTTAAAACCCGAGATGTGTGTCTCACAGCAAGCTGGTGGAGAAGTGTGTGTGTGTGTGTGTGTGTGTGTGTGTGTGTGTGTGTGTGTGTGTGGGGGGGGGAGGAGGGGGCGCAGCGAGCAAGCAGCAGACAGGAGGAAGCTGTGCCAGTTTGCTACAGAAAGAAGCTTGGGAGGCAAGTGTGACACTCTGGTTCTATCCCAGGCCTGCCAGGGCGAAATGGGTGGGGCATGCCTGGGAAAGGTGGGAAAACACAGGGCAACACCCTTGATTTCCAGAGAGAAGGCCATGAATCGAGGTGCAAGTAGTGATGCTGCTGGTAGCTGTCTGAGTCATCACTGCTTAGGGGCAGGAATAGGATCAGACTTGTAAATACCACTTTAGATCTTCTCCATGGTTAGGAAGGCTCCCCATGCTCTTTTTTTTTTTTTGGTTACAGCTCATTTATATTAATAAAAGGGTAATATGCTAATTAGACCAGGAGACCTTCTGGGAGACATTTCCGACGTCCTTCTGGACAAAGCCATGGTGGCAGGGCCGAGGCAGAGGTGGTTAGGGGCGATCAGGCCATGAGGGGAGGGCAGTTGGGAGTGATCTGACTGGTGGGGGAGGGGGGACAGTAGGTGGTGAGCAGGCCAGCAGGGGGGGGCAGTTGGGGGGGAGCAGGCTGGCAGGCAGAGTGGTTAGGAGCAATCAGGCAGGCAGACAGGTGAGCGGTTAGGAGCCAGCAGTCCCAGATTGCGAGAGGGATGTCCGACTGCCAGTTTAGGCCCGATCCCAGCAGTTGGACATCCCCCAAGGGGATGAGAGAGTGCAGGCCAGACTGAAGGACACCCCCACCCCCCTGTGCATGAATTTCGTGCACCAGGCCACTAGTTGAGATATAATTTCTACACTATACAATTCCCCCATTTAAAGTATATAATTTCATAGTTTTTATCATATTCACAGAGTTGTGCAATCATCACCACATTTTAGAATATTTACATTACCTCAAGAGGAAATCCCACCTCCCTTAGTTACATTCCCATTCCCCTGAAGCTTCAGGCACCCACTGATCTGTTCTCTGTCTCTATGGATTTGCCTATTCTGAACATTTCATATAAATGGAATCACACAGTATGTGGTCTTTTGTGTCTGGCTTCTCTCACTCAGCATCATGTTTTCAAGGTTCGTTCACATTGGAGCACGTATCAGTACTTCATTCTTTTTTATGGCTGCATAATATTCCACTGTATAGATGGACCACTTTGTGGTGGACATTTGGGTTGTTTATCAATTTGGGGCTATTATGTATTATGGATCATGCTTTTGTCCAGCTGATGTGGCTCAGTGGTTGAGCGTCAATCCATGAACCAAGAGGTCACTGGTTTGATTCCCAGTCAGGGCACATGCCTGGGTTGTGGGCTCGATCCCCACTAGGGGGTGGGCAGGAGGCAGCCAATTGATGATGTTTCTCTTCGATGTTTCTATCTCTCTATCTCTCTCCCTTCTTCTCTCTCTAAAATAAATAAAAACATATTTTTTAAAAATCATGCTGTTATGAACATTTGTTTACAGATTTTTGCAAGAACATATGTTTGCATGAACAGTTTTCTTGGGTATGTAACTATGAATGAAATTGGTGGATGACTTGGTAACTCTTTCAACCTTTTGTGGAACCAACCATTTTTCACAGTAGCTGCACCATTTTACATGCCCACTATCAATATTTGTCCCAATTTCTCCACATCCTCACCTAACACTTTTTATTATCTGTCTTTTTGGATTGTGGGCATCCTAGTGGGATGTAAAGTGGTATCTCTTTGGGTTTTGGTTCACATTTTCGTAATGGGTAATGTCCCCTTGCTCTTTGTGATGATGATAACAACTCACGTCTGTACAGGGAGACAGTGTTGTTTACCACCTAAGGGTTAGCAGGGGTCCTCAAACTACGGCCCACGGGCCACGTGAGGCCCGCCGAAAACATTTATCTGGCCCGCCAGGTGTTTTTGCCGCCGCTGCCTGTCCTGCTTAGCAGCCGACTCATCCCGGGCCCGCAGTGCACATGTGTGGAATGTCTGAGGGACAGTGAACTGGCCCCCTGTTTAAAAAGTTTGAGGACCTCTGGGTTAGAGTCACTCAACCTCTCGGAGCATCAGATTCTGCCTCTGTTCACAGAGTGGTTGTGGTAATTAAATAGAAAAGGCATGCAAGCCCTTCTCAATGCCTGGCATAGGGTAGGAGCTCCCCAAATGTCAGCTCTTTTTAAAAAGAATCTTTTTTAATCTAATGGGTACCTTCATAATGCAGTACACCCTCTCCTCTGACTATCAAAGTAACCATGCCCACACTTGGGGTTTGAGGTCTGAAAAGGTGGATTCAAAAATCCTTTACCTCTTTGCGTTTCCTTTTCTGTAAAATGGGGATGATGGTTGTTGTGAGGATTAAGTGAGTTAATAAATGCAGAGCTGCTAGAAAAATACCTGGCATATGGGAAGCCCTTACTAAGTGTGAATTCTTCCTATTAATTGTAACTACTAGGATCATCATTATTTAATTCGTGTGTTTACTATGCAACAAACATTGAATAATAAACCCATATGCTAGAATTCTAAAATAAGAGATTACTTAGACAAGATATCAAAGGACTGATGATAAAAGACGTAGTAAATTCCTACAAAGATCATATTTCAGATCATTCCATGTAACAGATAATGTAACTTTCTAGTATGCTTGGGTCCAGCACGCAGTTTCTTAAAAACAGATCATTGTACATATGAGAAAGATTATTATGAGAACACCTTACAATGATAACTATTTTTCTTCCATATGGTGGACTCTTATTTTACATGCATTTAATTCCCTTAATTTCAGTTACACACATGCCACCAGAGCATGGAGAGAGGGCACAATTAAAACAGGGCAATGATTCGGTGACTGGTGTCCGGAGTAAGGGGGAGATGGATACTTGAGTTGGGGTTCCCTCAGTCAGTCTCTGCTTCCACGTGCTTCTCACAGAGTGAGCATTTTGCTGTCCTACCTGTGGATCTAAATACACCTTTTCCACTCAACATGCCCCCTGAAATAAGCCAACTTCTTAACATTTGCCTTCCTTTCACTTCCCGCAAAACTGGAAAAACAGCAACTTGTTCCAGGGCAGGAGGAAAGCCTGCGGCTATGCATTGTGCACAATGCAAGGGCCTAGCAAAGGCAATTTTAATGAGACACAATTTTTACCTTAAGTCCCCACTTTGAAAGATAACCCCACGTGAAATGCTTCCCTATTGTTTATATTTTAAAATATGAAATTGAAGGAAAAAATGCTGCCAGCTTTGCTTTTCCCCTCTGTGTTAACAGAAGACTGACATCTCTCTGAATGGTGTCCCATAGAACACAGTGTGGGCAATGCTGCCTTCAATTGTATTCTGAGGCTGCAAGTTGATGTAACTGCAAGTTGGCCATCTATGAAATGGGTAGACTCATGGTGCCCCGGGGTTGAGGGATGTTGTATGCATCAAATAGGACTGGTGTGGACCACTGATGGAAGTCCAGAAAGGCTCAGGTAAAATTTGGGATATGCAGCAGCAGGTGGTGAGTTCTGGCCATAGGGTTCTGGGTTCAGTGGTTGTACATACTAGGGCCAAAAAGGCAAAGGGCCAGGATAACAAAGTAAGACAATGCATCAGTTATTGAAACTGGGGTCCAAGACAGGGGCTAGCAATACTGGAAATAAGACTAGAGGCTGAGTCTGGCTGGCATAGCTCAGTGGTTGAGCATTAACCTATGAACTAGGAGGTCACAATTAGATTGCCGGTCAGGGCACATGCCTGGGTTGCAGGCTCCATCCCCAAAGGGAGGCAGCCGATCAATGATTCTCTCTCATCATTGATGTTTCTATCTCTCCCTCTCCCTTTCTCTCTGAAATCAATTTAAAAAAAAAAGACAAGAGGCTGAGCAGCTTCTCATAGTCCCTCACAACCAAGTTCAAGTCTGGAGTCAAAGGCAGGGCCTGCAGCTGCAGGCAGGGTCATGTGGCTCCAGCTCCCAGGGTTGCAGCAGTATGTGGACAGGATGCTGAGTAGGTCTGTGCTAATCATATTGTTTGGATGTCTGACAGAAACCTACCTCAAGTTATCCAGCAAGCCACACAGGGGGATTTACTGTCAAGTAACTGGGCAGTGGAAGAGATGGAACTGTCCTCTGACATGGATGGTCATAAAAGTTCAAACTGTGTTATCAGGGCTGGTTCTCTCTCCACATCTTGGATCTACTGGGTATTTCGTTTTCTTCTTGAATAGGCTATCTATGTAGGAAGGTGGCACACCTCACATCCTCCCCTTATAGCAACCAGAGGAACAAATAGGGTTTCTTGATAGCTCTGCCAAGAAAGTCTCAGGAAAGACTCTGATTGGTTGAGCTTGAGTTACATATTCATCCCTAAACCAATCATTGGCCAACCCTGGGTCATATGCTCACTCTTGTGGCAGGAAGTAGAGAGAGGGTAACAGAGCTGAATGAGCCAGACCTATCCACTGTCAATGGCTTTTCCTTAGGAAAAAAGAATTCTGTTGCCGGAAGAAATGGGAAAAGAAAGTGGTGGGTAGGGGCAGAGTGGGGAGAGACAGTAAAAAAACAAACATCCATTACAAAGTCTCAATGGATAATTATGATTTGAACAGTGCAATTATGGGGGGATTCCCATGTTATGGACTCCACTTCTTGATTATATGTCACAGCTTAATTTCCCAGCCTCTCTTGCAGCTAGGAGATAGGCATGAGACCCAAGTCCAAAGCTTTTCAAATATAAGAACTATGCAACACTTTAGTATGCAGGGAATAACATCATGTGGTGGGCGTGAGCAGAATTCATCTTTAGGAATTTATGGGGACAGTACCAGCCTTGACCTAACCAATGGGGGCCACGTTCCTGAACCCCATG